CAATTTTTTATTTAATGTAATTTTATTTTCAATCTAAAGTTAAAGTAACTGTGAAGTGGACAAGAACCCACTTTAGTACCAGATTAATAAACTGAGACTTTGTTGCACTTTTCTAAGTAATAAACGAACAAAAAATAATAGCAGGAACATAGAAAATCATGTTGAAAAATGTGAGTAGAAAATGTAATTGGCCAAGATAAAATTGGAAAATATAGTTGGATATATCTGAAGCTCACATTTTTGGTTTTGTTTTCGTTGTTGGCATTTGCAGTCCAATTGTCAATGTCTCGTCATGCGTGACTCAAGCTGCACAAAGTATTACGCACACTTCTTTCGGCACCAGCTTAACTCTGTGGAACAGCGCTGTACTTACTATTTAATTTAGTATTCCAAAATGGTACACAATGAACAGCAAGGAAAATAATAGAAATAAAAAGATAAACTACATTCGTGTTTTGGCAGAGAACGAACATTTAAGTCGCTATATTCTTTCAACTAATGAAGTGTTTACAGGTGACTGCGATTGAATTAAAAACTGACCACAACATCGTATAATATCAGACTTTCTTATTACAAATCGAACTTTATACTGAGACAATAATTTTCATAATAGCAATAACTTGGCGATTTGAGCCAGTCAAAAATTTGTTCAACATTAAGTAAAATTAATATGTTTGGACATCATGCTTATATGGATTGAAAGTACAAGGTGACCCAATTGAACTGCTATCCACTTCAAGCTGTTATGACTTCGAGCTCAAACTGCTGACGTTCATGGGCATGTAGAAGTTCTAATGTCTACACATATCTGAAAAAATGTTGACTATAATGAAATTTAAATGCATCACGCTGATAGTGGTGTATACATATGAACACAAAACTGCTTTAGCAAAGTTCTTAAATACCAACATCAATTTTTAACCAATTAATTATTTTGATTATTCTGAGTGTTAAAAGTCTATACGAGTAAGTAAATACAGATTTTATAATATTCGTTAAACTCATTTATAAATAGCATTCTACATTTAACTGCATTCTCAACTGAATTATATGTATATATTTTATGTTATTAAAAGATCATAAATATAGTACTCCAACTTATTTCGGGGGTGGGTTTAGCCCTTCAAGACTAAACTAAACTTATTCCCCTCTACTTATGTGTATGTAACTAAACCATGAAAGTTCCTTCATTCAGTGTTACATATATCATACATATATAAAATACAAGAACCCCATCCAATCCTTCAAGCACTGAAAATATATGATATATACCAATCTCTTCAGTAGACGAAATGCAGTAAATTATTATGCAAATTAGTAGATAGAAAGGTTGAATAAGATGGCATCAAGTTGTTACACATAGACTTTCGCGTCCCAACCGGTTGTGAAATATATACGAATAACAAAATAACAGAATTTCTATAACTACATAACGTTTTAAAAATAATAATATATCACACATATGTTGGCCTAAATCTGGAGATGTCGTAAATCTATTTTAATTAAATGCAACATATTTTTACAGATTATATTGTGTTAGATATTGACAAATAAGAAGATAAAATACATTTCATTATTCTCAATACACTTAAATTTTAATTTAATACAAAATCATTATTATTTTATTAAATAAAGTATGTACACTATTATTGTTAGAGGATGTAGCACTGCGACCGTCGGGTCTATTGTGCCCCTTCTGGGTTTAGAGTAGGTCTTTAAGCCCTGCTGTGTCAATAAAAAGTAGCATAGAACCTACTTTACAGAGTTGTATTGCCTCTTCCGTAAGAATATACATTCCTAGAAGTCTATTTTGTATGTGCATTAGCGCAGGGTATTCTAACAGCATTTGTGTGGCCGTCTCCTCATTCTCTTCACAGAATCTACAGTTTCTATCCGTAAGTACACCCAGTTTTGTAAGGTGGTCTTGTAGTCTACAGTGCCCTGTTAGGATTCCTGTGATGATTCTAAGTTTTTCTTTTGATAGGTTCATACAATACTGGTATCTCTTATTGTTATAGGTATCAATAAGTGATTTGGATTGTTTTAATACTGGTATATTTTTCCAGTAATCCATTTTATTCTGGTTCTCCTTTGTTT